ACCCCCCCCCATCAGCCTCCCCCACAACATGGGGCTGGATTGGAGTTAGCACCGCCGAAGAGGAAAGACATGTATAGCAGAAACAAAATACAGGACTAGGTAGCACTTTAAAGACTAACAAGATGGTTTATTAGATGATGAGCTTTCGTGGGCCAGACCCACTTCCTCAGATCAAATAGTGGAAGCTACATTTCTATCACTATTCTCCATGTATAGCAGTGTTTCTTAAACTTTTTAAGACCGAGGAACACCAAACAATAAAAATGTTTTATGAGGAACACCAAGGATTTTTTTGTTGTGAAGAAAAAAATAGCTCAGGGGAAAAGTTATTGAGAAAAAAAAAAAGGTCAGAAAAGTAATTGAACAACAAAAAAAAGTCACCTGCCCCTTTAAGGGCGGCCATTTTGAATTCTGTTGTTCTCCTGGCACACCTCCAACTGCCTTGTGGTGAAAAACAGTTTAAGAAACACTGATGTATAGATGTATAGGTTCTTCCTGTTCTAGTTACCGGGTAAACTCATTTACAATTGTTAAAGAAATCACTCTTGTTGTGCAACCATTTTTTTATTGTGTAAGCATCGTTCACAGAAACACAAAACATTGCTTTCATATAAAAATAGGAAACACATGAATGCAGAAAAGTCAGGAGGCATTTTTTAAAAGACTATCTTCTTTCAAAGTCCCCCTCTTCCAAAAATTCTTGTCCGATCAGTATAAGTGAGCTGGTAAACATTCTATTATTATTGCAGCCTACGAAAGATGGGAAACTTTTTAAAGACAAGTTGTTATTTTTTCTGGGGCAAGGAAAGACGTAAGAGAATACAGAATAAACTTTAAAATAGAAAATTTTCCCCGGTCTTAACTCTGAAGTTGCCATTGTAACTCTACAACTGTTACAGTTACCGAAATTAGCTTGTTAAAAATCTAATCATAGCAACAACGGCAGACTAGATGCAAATCAATATCAACAGCAGTATATAAAATTAATATGAACAAAGAGGACAGAGATTTTCCTTTGCTTCTCAGGGCCTTCCTTGCGCTTTCTTGCAAACCTAGAACAACAACGTGATATTGTTAACAATTACATTGTTCATTTATTATATTGCAGCAACAGTAGCTGATCTTTTCCACGTGGCAAATCCCAGTTACACCGTCATCGTGAAATTATATTGACATCTGAGAGAGTTTCATGTGTGAACCAGCTACATCAGGAGAGATTCATAAATTCCAAGGACAGAAGGAAACATTATGATAATCAAGCCAGTGTGTCTCAATCTTTTTTTTATAAAGTACCACCTTTAAAAAATTAAAAAAACTGACCCAGAACACAGTACAGCAGAGAAGATCTACGGTATAACAAGCCCCCTAAACACGAAATAATTCTTCTCCTGCTAGGGCTTAGGCGCCATCTTACCATGTTCACTAGCATGTTCTAAAGGCCTGCCTGTCCACAGACGCACTGCTAAAAATGCCAGAGCCCGGTCTGAGCCACAAAGTACCACATACCTCGAAGCCTAGCCTTCCAATCATGATCACATTGAAGATTATACTCTTTGCCAGCACAATTTCCAACCCCAGCAGGGCTGCGGAGAGTGTCTTCATGCTTTTCTCCTCATTTGGATCTACACAATGTGAAACGATGGTTCACCATGAACGTTCATATTTGCACAAATATAACGAAAGGAAAGGAAGAAAATACGAAAAGGGTGAGAAAGCAAGCAAGAAAGCAAGCAAGAAAGAAAACAGGGGAAAGGAGAGCAAGAAAGCAAGCAAGAAAATAGAAAAAGGGTGACAGGTTCAGTTTAGTTAATTTAGATAATAATGGTTTAAGCATTTTTTCTAATTCTATTGATTTAAATGTTTCACAATTGTATGAAATTATTGGGGGTCATGCAGTAATAATTTAATGAGAGTAGATTTTTAGATGCAATAAGTTAAAGCTTTATTAACTTTAAAAAATAGATTTTCAATATCATATGTCAAAATATACAAAGTAAATACCCTTAGGTCAAACTCCAATATGTTTTCAAGCAGCATTTTTCTAATTTTACTTTGCTCACTTTGTCAATGTTGATCATTAGTAGCAGAAATATTTTTTGTAGGTGCTGGGTTTTTTGTTTGTTTGTTTCATAAGAACATCAGAGCGGCCAGACAGGGTCAGACCAATGGTCCATCCAGTGTCCTGTCTGCCCACAGTGGCCAATGCCCAGTGCCCCAGAGGCAGTGAACACAACAGGGGACCCATGACATAGGCGAGAGACACCATCCCTTCCCATTCTAGCTAATAGCCATGGATGGACCCAACCTCCATGGATTTAACATCTGGACCCTGTTGAAGTCCTGCTCTCCACAGCATCCTCTGTGTGTGAGGTGAAACTGACGTGTATTGACATTTATTGGTAAAAAAAAAAAAAACCTGAACCCTTCCAGGCCCATGGGCTCAAAAGAAAGAGTAAGGAGAGTAGACCAAAGGGGAGATGTTTTTCTCAGTCCTGCACCACTGACATCAACAGGAGCCGGACCAGAATCTCAGAGCTAGATTGTGTGCTCCCTACCCAAATGGCCGGTCACCTCAGTGACATTACTTGTGTGACTAACTGCTCGCCAGGTTGGACAGGCTGGTCCTAGGCTTGTTACCACAGCAAGGGCCAGATTCTCAGTTGCCTACGGGTAATTCCCTGGTTGCCTGTGGGCAACATAACCATTCTCTTGGGAACTAACCTTCGAGACTGGAGTTCGAGACGGGGCACGGCTCAGTCGCAATGGCTGTGGGAGCAGGCGATGTGAGATCTAAAAGAAAGAAGCAAACGACCCCCAGAGAAATGATTTATATGGAGCTAGAACAATCCTACGACTACACTCTCTGAAATTCAAGATGGCGCAAATTCGCCCTGGGCATAATTCTAGCTTGGTCCTTAGCGCTTTGATGTCAAAGGGAGTCTTTCCCTTTGGAAGCGCTACAGCTTCTGGGCAAAGCATTTTCTTCCATCAGAATTGTCTGTAGGATTTCTTGCAGTGTCCTTTGAAGCAACTGCGTGTCAAGTACTGGGCTAGATGAACGGTCTTATCTATTCTGGCCTTCGCTGTGATCCTACGTGAGAAATAAAATCCCCAAAGTATGATCTTATTCCCTGAAAACACACCTGGCAGCTTCTCCGTAGTTTGGCTTTTCTCGATACGTTTGTGGTTATGCTGAACGGAGCACGACACGAGGTCATTGGGGGACAAGTCAACAACCTTGATGGCCGTGTATTTCCCACTAGCTGTGAGGACGGGCTCTGTTGCTTCATACAGAGTTTGGCTGTCAGAATTCAGGGATATCTTCACTTCTTTAGGGTAGAAATCTTTCGCCAGGCAAGCAGCAATGCTCTTGTTTTCTGACCTCATGATGGAGACGGAGGGTTCGGAAGGGGTTTGGTCTCCTAGAAAGTTAAGGTTTTAATTAAACACAATGGATGTGTTTGTCCTTCGGAGGTACGTAGGGAGCACCTGTCTGATAAGCACAGGATATCATTATATAGTCTTCTTTTAATCTAGACTTTGATCAGCTAAATAGATTGAGCTCCTTAATTCTCATTTGGAGGCAGGATTTTAATAAGAATAATTTAACAGTGGGGTTTGGGGGAGAAAAACAGCACCCGATTATTTCATTAGAAGTTGTAGCATAAGGATAAACAGTTCATGCTGCTCGGACAGCTGTAATTCTAGCGTTTCCTAACTTTTAAATGTGTGGGTCTGCAACCAGAAAACTCCTTTATCAACGATTTTCAGATGAATTCAATACAGGGGTGGGCGATAAAACTGGCGGATCGCTAGGACTAGCCCCTGGTGGGCCACCACAGCTCTATCTCCTTGCCCCTCCGCAGGTATGGGGGCTTGCAGCTCCCATTGGCCATGGATCGCCATTCTGCGCCAATGGGAGCTGTGGGAATGGTGTCTCAGTCCATGCTGCTTCCCGCAGCTCCCATTGGCCGGGAACGGTGATCGATGGCCAACAGGAGCTGCACACTCCTGTATCTACAGAGTTGTAGGTAAACACGGGCACGACAGCCCAGCGGGGGCTAACACAGACGAACCGTGGCTGGTTATTGCCTGCTGCAGATTTAATATGGATGTTGAAACCTTTCCATGCAACGTGTTTCGAAGACTGCAGCAGAACAATGAATTAACAGTGCAGATCAACATGTGACTATTTAAAACATTTTCCCTGTCATTTCCCTCAGCAAGAAAGTGGGAATTTCAGGCTGTCACTGAAAGGAAGACAGAACCTAGTATTCTGTACACACACTTCTGAAGGTCTCTGGATCCAAAATGTGCATTGCTAAAATCCACCACTGTGAGCACAGACAATAAGAACCCAGGCAGAGTCCCGGCCTTATGTTTAATCTTATCTTCAATATGTCTTCAAAAATCTGTAACAAATTACTTTTTCTTCACTTTAAAATTTTAACCCTCCCTTTCCTGAGTGTTAAGAGTCAGTCACTTACTTGGTATTAGAGAAACTTTGGTCCCTTTAAAGATAGCTTCGTCGTCCACAGTGTGCCACAGCTGTGCAAAAACCTCTCACGAGAAATTTGAGACAACTTCTAGGAGTTCTTTCTTTTATTCTGCATCTGAATTAGCTCGTTCATCTCCATGTATTGATGTATTCTTGCGCTGAACTGGAAAACATTGCCATGCAAAACGTGATTTATATTTTAGCTGCATAAGAAGAAAACTAGCTCAAAGAGGTGTGATTCTTATTGTCTATTGCAACCTTTGCTAGGAACAGATTGAAGCCAGAGTCTTGCAAAGTTGTACAAACATGGTCAACTTTGTACACCCTGAGGCAGATTCTTAGCTGGGTTAAATGGTCTTAAATCACAGCAGGGGAAGTTTAGGTTGGACATTAGGAAAAACTTCCTGCCTGTCAGGGTGGTGAAACGCTGGAATAAATTGCCTAGGGAGGTTGCGCATCTTATTTTGATTCTATTTCAAAATAGCTTATTTTGAAATTTGGCACATCTACACAGCACCACATTTCAAATTAACACACTATTGCAAGACATCCCTTAACCCACGTGGAACAGATTTCAAAATAACAGGTGACTTTTTAAGACATGGGTTAGCTATTTTGGGATACCTCTGATATCCCAAAATAGCCACGCGGGGTAGACATCCCCTTACACTGGATCTATCCCACTATTGAGATTTCAATGGCTCTGTTACACTGTGCAAACTTAAACCAGGGCTCAGACTCTGCAGGATCAGGGCGTTACTGAAGAATTTTGATGCTCGATTCCCAACATGTCGCGCTTTCAGAATGAAACGGAGTGTTCCAAAGCCAAGATCTGCCAGTGGGTCGGAGAGATTAATTAGGGTCCCAAAGAACAACAAGGAACACTCTTCTGAAAGTAACATAGAAATAGTCAGAGGGGTTTTCTACCTTTGATTCTGTTTCGGATAAATCTGCCCATGCACTCTACTGCATAGAAAGCAAGGCTGGGCAAACACCAATTCACAGACCAGATCTGGTCTGTCCGGATTCCCCCGGCAGCCCCTCCCAGTGCAGAATTTACCTGTGCAGGTACAGAGAATCACAGCTCCCATTGGCTGCGGATCACCGTTCCTGGCCAATGGGAACTGCGATTGGAGATGCAGGTAAATATAGCGGCAGCGGCCAACCGGGCTGATTTATTGCCCACGGCTGATCTAAGGAAATGTGCAGAGAGAAAAGAAGCATTTCAAATAGTATTAAATCAGTGCAATAATATAACACATCATAGCTCCCTTTTCCTTCATGATAAATAAGAAACCAAGGGATTTGAGTCAATCATAATTACCGTTATTTTTCTTACTCTTTCTGCTGCTTTTTCATGTAACTTCTTCTGAAAATGTCCAACCCCCCCAAAATGTGAAGTTCTAGGTTTTTGTACAAGGCTCTGTGGTGTGTGTAACACCGTGTGTAACCCTCATCACCATGCTAAAGCTCTTTACATTAACAGTCCGGGGGCTGAGAATAGAATTCAACACTTCTCAGAACTGTGTTCCCGAGAAATGAGTTTCCACTTGGAGCGGCCCATGGGGGTGAGGTGAATCCTCTCGGTTTCTAACAGCAGAGCGTGCTTTCCACCAGGCACGGGCGATAAAACGGGGTGGTTCACCAGAGTTAGCCCCGGGGGTCGCTGCCACTGTATTTCCCTGTGCCCCGGTGGGAGGGGCGATCGCAGCTCCTATTGGCCGGGAACAGTGATCCACAACCAATGGGAGCTGCGGTCCCATGTCTATGGAGGTGCAGGTAAATACAGTGGGGGAGGGCCGTGGCAGACCGGATCTGGTCCATGGGCCCGTGTTAGCCCAGCCCATTACACTGCTAATGCACGTGTAGTGTGGTAGGCAGATGTCCATTCGATAACGAGAATTCACCTTACGCACAGGACTCCACAAGGAGCACAATTGTTTCCATCAGTCAGGCAAGTCTGGCATCGCACACTGACCTAGAGACACACACACGCACTCCCTGAATGCAATGGAGGATAAACGTCTGGGCCATAATTTAAGCACAAAGGAATTCCTACACCGCAAGTTTCCACAGACAGAGTTTGCTGCAACCTCCCAAGGATCTTTCCGCCTCCAGCAGCGTAACACAAATCTTTTAACTGCAGTCCCAGCAAAATTATCCAGAACCTACCACTGACAGATACATTCAAGTTAATGTCTCTAGAGGAAGTGTCAAAATGGAGCCCAGTATTACTGGAATGCTGTGACCATATTTCTATATTTGTTACCGTATATATTTAAATTCATTTCATTATAATTACATTTGTTATTTATATCCATTAATTCACCGAATGAGAATAGGCAGAGAAATTCTGTAATGCACCATTGGAACTTCTTGCCAGAGGATGTGGTGACGGTTAGGACTTTAACAGGATAAAAAAAAAAAAAAAGAGCTAGATAGATTCCATTGATGGCTATTAGCCAGGATGGGCAGGGCTGGGGTCCCTAGCCTCCACTTGTAAGAAGCTGGGGATAGCAACAGTAGGTGGATCTCTTCACACCCTCTGGGGCATCTGGCATTGGCCACTGTGGGCAGACAGGACACCGGGCTAGATGGGCCTTTGGTCTGACCCAGTCTGGCTGCTCTATGCTGGTTGCAAATCTTTCCTCCACCCGCCCTCTGTTAACTTGTCCCTCTCTACACTGCGTGTTCCCTGGGGCATAGACCCTCCCCTCCTTTCTTTGGAAAGCACCTGGTCTGCAGTTCTCATGCTTTCGGACCTAGTCTGTTTAACTAGAGAGGGAGTCACCTGGCATAACGGGGCTTTGTGGTTTGAAATAGCGCAGTGTAGTCGCTGGCGGGGGCGGGGGGAAGCCACATTGTGCAGAGAAAACAGGCAGTCAAAGATGAGAACTGAGAAACTTAGTAAGGGGGGGAGGGGCGTCCAAGGTTAGGCAGCGGCATGAGAAAAAATGGTTTCCTGGCCCGCACACTGTGTGATCACGTGGCCAAGCCTAGATCAGCACACAGACTCTGGACTGGTAACTATAACATCATCTGGCAGGACCGTGTAGGCATGAGGATGAGTGTGGGTGTGTGGGTGTGTGGTTGGAAAGCATATGCAACTGTTGTGTTCTCAATAAATGCGGCGTACTGCCTTTTCCCCATAAAGGATCTCATGTGCTCCGTTTAAGCAGACAACACAATGGCAGTTAGGTGCCTAACTCACTTAGGTGACTTTGCAAACTTCTGTCTTCCCCTTTAGGCAGCTAAATAGCGCCATTCCCAGGCCCCTATAGGCATCCGTAGGTGCCTAAATCCCTCAGGCTCACCTCAGGTGATGGTTTTTGTTGACACTCGGAGTCACGGTGACACACTGTGCAGCATGGCAGTAATACCAAGCGGTGTCCTCCTGCCGAAGGCTGTTCATTTGCAAAAAAGCCATGTTCTTGGCATTGTCCCTGGATATGAGGAATCGCCCTTTCACCGAGCCGGCGTAATAGGCCGTGCTGGTCGGGAGTTTGCCGATGCTCGATACCCACTCCAGCCCCCTGCGAGGGGACAGTCGGTACCAGCTCATCCAGTAATTACTGAACGGGAATCCGGAGGTTAGGCAGGAGAGGCGCAGAGAGTCTCCGGGCTTCTTAACATCGCCACCAGACTCTCTGAATTCCACAGCCCAGCCACCTAGGGGGAAAGAGACGGTGAGACTCGGAACAACGTGTCCACGACCCGGCGGGAGGCCTGCGGGGACAGTCAGTTACCTTGGACAACTGCTGCAAAGAGAAGGGAAAGTTCCCCAAAGTGCATAGTTCTGAGCCTGGCAGAAAGGCTGGCAAGGAGGGGCCGGTGCTCTCCGCACTGCGGGCTGCGGAGTCGCTCGGAGGGAGCCGCAAGGTTCAGGGACTGTCAGGCATGAAACAGGAAACTGATTTGCATAGTCTCCTTGTACCAGGGACCAATCGGATCCCATGCATGTGTGCGCCTGTCGCCTCACCCACCGCCTGTCCCGTAGTGTGACTGAAAGCACCGTGGAGGGGAAACAGGGGCCTTTCGCCCTTCACAGCAACAAAGCCGACACCTCAGGGATTTGATGAGAGATCTCACTGAAAATTATAAACATAGTCATCTGTCTGTCTGTCTGTCTATCCCCACACCGCCATCCATCCATCCATCCCCACACCTCCCATCTATCTATCTATCTATCTATCTATCTATCCCCACCCACCCCCTCTATCTATCTATCTATCTATCTATCTATCCATCCATCCATCCATCCATCCCCACACCCCCTCTTGGACGCGCCATCCATCCTCTAAACACTCCATCCATCCATCCATCTACCATCTAAATACTGCTCTCGGCGGTTCATTCCCCTATGGTCTAGCTGTCAGGATTCCTGGTTTTCACCCAGGCAGCCTGGGTCCAACTGCCAGTGTGGGAAGAGGACAGGTGTTTGTTTGTTTTGCCACGGCGGTGAGGCGCTGGAATACACCGTGGAGGGGGGTTGTGGAATCTCCACCCTGGGGATATTTCAGAGCAGGCTGGACAGACGCCTGCCAGGGATGGGCTAGCTGCTTGGTGCTGCCGAGAGGACAGGGACTGGATGTGATGGTCTTTCGAGGGCCCTTCCAGTTCTGGGATCTGTGGTTCTACCCAAAGTCTTTCCCCAAGCGATGGGCAGCGGAGCCGGCGGCGGCCGCCCAGTGGAAGGCACTAGGGGGTCTCCCCGATGCGTCACACTAATTCTTCGGCCTTAGCCAAACCGGCAGCCTGCCCCCCGTGTCGCTGGGGGTCTCTTGTTCAGTTTGCACTCTCGGGCGCCGTCGGAGAGACTTCGGTGTCTGGACGCCCGCTCCCTGTCGAGCCCCTGCCCCGGCGTGGCCCCTCGCCTGCAGAATCCACGTGGCCGTCATGCAGCTGAGAAGAGGCGTTTCATTGGGATTTAACGGGGACTCGGTTAATTCCATTCACTACTGGATGACACCGAACAGAGGGCCGGCGACTTTAATTCCCAAACCTGGTGCCCTCTAAAGAGGGAGCTAATCTGGTTTAAATAAGTCAACTGAACATATTTTGCACACACGTTTCCTGAGTGTGCCCATGTAGACAAGCACCAAGGTATCCGCCCAGGGACGTAGCGGAGTACTTAGATCCGGGTGATATGGGGTGAAGACATTCTGGATCCATGGTCCCCCCCAAAGTGATATGGGTTGAGGTGATTGGATCCATGCCCCCCACTGATATGGGGCAGGGGTGTCTGGATCCATGCCCCCCACTGATATGGGGCAGGGGTGTCTGGATCCATGCCCCCCACTGATATGGGGCAGGGGTGTCTGGATCCATGCCCCCCACTGATATGGGGCAGGGGTGTCTGGATCCATGCCCCCCACTGATATGGGGCAGGGGTGTCTGGATCCATGCCCCCCACTGATATGGGGCAGGGGTGTCTGGATCCATGCCCCCCACTGATATGGGGCAGGGGTGTCTGGATCCATGCCCCCCACTGATATGGGGCAGGGGTGTCTGGATCCATGCCCCCCACTGATATGGGGCAGGGGTGTCTGGATCCATGCCCCCCACTGATATGGGGCAGGGGTGTCTGGATCCATGCCCCCCACTGATATGGGGCAGGGGTGTCTGGATCCATGCCCCCCACTGATATGGGGCAGGGGTGTCTGGATCCATGCCCCCCACTGATATGGGGCAGGGGTGTCTGGATCCATGGTCCCCCCACTCATATGGGGCAGGGGTGTCTGGATCCATGGTCCCCCCCGATTATATGGTATCTACCCCCCCACACCCCCTCTATCCATCCATCCATCTATCTATCCATCCCCACACACTCTATCTATCTATCTATCTATCTATCCATCCCCACACCCCCCCTCTATCTATCCATCTATCTATCCATCCCCACACCCCCCTCTATCTATCCATCTATCTATCTATCCATCCCCACACCCCGCCTCTATCTATCTATCCATCCCCACCCCCCTCTATCTATCTATCTATCTATCTATCTATCTATCTATCTATCTATCTATCTACAAAACTCAATAACAAAGCCCCTGGCCCCCATCCCGAGTTCTCTAGGGTCTCCCACGCTGGTGAAATCTCTGCCTGGCATGAGGGTTGGGCTTGGTCATTGCTGCAGGTATTCAGGGCGGGGAGGGGAGCGTGTGGATTGTGAGAGTGGCTCTGACCAGGGAAAGGCCGTGGAGAGGAGGCCCCAGGCATTGCGGTCGGGATCATGCACCGTGACCCCTGTGTGTCTTTGTCCCTCCCTGTCCCGTGTGCGGGTCTTCCATGTGCCCGAGGTGCTGTGCTCCCCAACAGCCGCCGGCCGGGTTCTTGTGTGAGCGCACCATGACCCTGGAGCACTGTGCCTGGCTGCAGTAATAAGTGCCGGCGTCCTCAGGTCTCAGGCGGTCCATCTGCAGGTGGAGGGTGCTCCGGGCGTTGTCTCTGGCGATGCTGAAGCGCCCTGTTACCGACGCAGCGTAACGCTTGGTGTCTCCTGCCCAGAAGCTGATGGTGGCGACCCACTGCAGACCTTTGCCTGGGGACCATCGCAGCCAGCTTAGCCAGTAGTCCCCAAAGCTGAACCCAGAGCCAGTGCAGGAGAGGTGGCTGGAGTCTCCGGGCTTCTTCACGGGGCGTTGTCTCTGGCGATGCTGAAGCGCCCTGTTACCGACGCAGCGTAACGCTTGGTGTCTCCTGCCCAGAAGCTGATGGTGGCGACCCACTGCAGACCTTTGCCTGGGGACCATCGCAGCCAGCTTAGCCAGTAGTCCCCAAAGCTGAACCCAGAGCCAGTGCAGGAGAGGTGGCTGGAGTCTCCGGGCTTCTTCACGCCCCCTCCCGTCTCCACGAATCTCACCTGCGTCTGGACCCCTGCAAGAGAAGGAAGGAGTCACCGAGCGCCCGCCCATCGGAGGGGCTTCCGCCGCCTCTCCCGGGGGCGTCATC